CCGCATACGTAACTTCGTAACAATTCAATAAGCCAAGACAGGACCGCTATAATCGCTACATGCCAGTGTTTCCTATTCGAGTACCTTATACACCCCTGCATGGATTTGAGTTGGATTCGCCTTGTATACGTGAGCCGACACACTCGCAAACGCTGATTGGATAAAGATTGCGAGAATCTTTAAACCCGGAAGAATGCAGATTTCATGAAATGATTTACGTTCATGTTAACAAGTAAAATACATGTAATCCCCATATAAAACACTGGCCTACGTGGCATGTATTAACATGTTCAAATTGAAATATAGAAAATTTTCAACATAGCATTTGCTTCCGTGTTCTGTCTGCCTCTCTACCTGCTTAAGAAGGCAATGCATTTTCAAATAAAACCTTAACCAAGTAGATTAGAGTCTCTAGGACACTTTTGTAAATAGTTTTCACAAGCAATTTTGTTGTGAATCTCAAATTTTGTCTTCCCGATTTCGGTCATGAATTACGTCAATTTCGCGTGCAAACTTTGTGTAGACCTTGCTATTCCCGGACGCCCAAACGTGTCAGGAACACATAGATCTTGATTGGACATCAGGTTGCAGAGAAATCGTATTTTTACCGAGTGGCTTCACGAAAAAATAAAAAGGCTATACGCCTGTTCAGTGGAGTCAAAAGTGAAGATCATTTTGAATTGACGCTCGGTATAAATATATAATACTTTCGTTCTTTCATATCGGTAGCACTTTGGCCTCATGGGCTACGTGCCTAGCTTCCACGCTGTAGGTTAGTCGATCGAGACCCATTCATGTCGAATTTTTTGATTTGCTTGTTGTCAAACTATAATACAGTGGTTTCAGTAACTTTGTGTACAAGGGGCAGATGAAAAATACAAGAGGCGGCATTCAAAATAACCAATTTTACGCTCCCGACAATGCAAATTCTTGTTATTTTAGAGTCCATGGACTGAAAGAAAGATGTCCAAGGTTTGTCAAAGTCATTTCCACGTGTGATGTGACAAGACATGGGCTCCACAAAATAACACCTGGAACTGTGGAATGACTAGGGCAACTTATATAGAATGTCATTTACCTTTTATAAGATAACTTACCCTTACACAGGTTGCATTTCACAAATCCAAATGCACCCGTTGAATTGAACACTTTTAATAGAAATCAAAATCTAGAATTGTCATTATTAAAATGAGAGTGATGTATTAATAGATGATTCACTTGTGATTATGTGTATATCAGATTCATTTTAGTTTTTACCGCCTCCAGACATTGCCAGAAATGGTGACATACAGGGTGTTCCAAAAGTAACAGGACTGGTGCCGGTATTTTGTTAAATATGCACCAATTGTCTTCAAAATTTTACATAATGTACCTTCATGTTTTGTAACTAAAATTGCCGAATTAGATAATTATTGTCGAAATTGATTTAGAAATCGGCCGATGACTAATCATCGGCCGGCGCCCGGCGCATATGTGGCCAAGGCATTAGAGAGAGACCGAGGTGGGAGATATCCCCCTCCCCTCTACACCAAACTTGTTCTCACTACGTTTTCGAAAATTGCCTGAAAGGCCTCCTCACACATTATTAAGGAAAACATATCTACACATTTTGCGCATTTAACCATTTGATAACATATTGTGGATCTAATCTTAATTTGTTCATGTGAATTCGCACCTCCATTTGCATGGAAGACTTTGATAAAATCCTTTAATGATGATTTTTGTTAGAAAGCTGATGTTTGGCTACTTCGAAATTCCAAATTGAACAGTCTACTAAGAATACCATGTTGTAAATATTGTTTTCAATATGTCGAGCTAGGACTGCTCAAACAAATTCGCTTTTTGTAGCTACACGTATTTAATTTCAATAGATGATAAACTTCTCAATATAAGAAATTACCCTCATATAAGACATTGTTGCAAGATGTGTTGCAATGAATGTGGCACCCCGCATTCCCGGGCCCGCATTATGTATTCTCGAAGAAAGCCATCATGATAAGCCATGACATCTCATTTCTTCTCAGCCCTGTGTTTCAGGTGAAACAGAAAGATGCCATGAGTATCAGAATGGAAGAAAGCATATATTTGCATTGATGGTGTATAGATAGTTATTTTATATAGTGTTTCTAGTTGTACGTGGAAACCTATTCTAACCAGGAAGAATATTGCAACTTTTTTCAAGATCCTAAAGTTGCAATTCTCGTTATTGTGTTTCATTGTAAAGACGCACCTGTGAAAATGCGTCGCTTGTACAAAGGCGTAGTTCTACATAAATTTAAGATACACTTTTTTAAACTTGTACGTGAACGTGTAGAATTATGGACCTGGTGGATTTTTTCTCCCTTTTGTACTGTTAATACTTGGCCGGTTGAGTATATAAAGGTATACATGTCCCAGCTTTTGGTAAGTGGGGGTCAAACCTCCTCCCCCCATCCACACATACACTTTTTATCATGCTTAAGTAACTTCGCATTGTAATTACAAGGGTGTTATAAACGAGACACCAGGATCATAATGTCGGGGTACAATATATTTTGAGAAAATTAGGGCCCAAATCTTGAGAAAGAGTCGAAGGCATGCGAGGCGAATTCTGGAAACTCGGGTTCGGGAAAGCGGGGTTCACTGTTTGGTTCCGTTGACACCTGTGCGAAACTACATTCATAATTTATCCGACAGTCGCTTTGATAATGTTTCTTTATCTCGTCTGCGACTCGATAAAGAGGAATTATTAAATCTCATCAAGAATGGACGATCTTGCACAGGTACTCATATAAGAACCTCTATATCTTTTTAACACCAATATATAACGGACACACCATGTTAAAAAATAAAATGTTATATCTAATGTGCCAATTTAATGATTTAGCATATCGAAAATATTTTCAACCTAAGTGACCACATCGTGACATCACTTAGGTGGCAACATTTTTCAATGTCAATCTTTTCTAAATATGCTAAACAATAAACCAATTTTGACTGTCTAACCAGGTTAAAAGGATGAATATGTTTTTAATATTAGTTTACCATTGGTTTCTATGAGAATTAAAATTTTGAAATGCATCTTTCCCTGGACCACTTTCATGCATGGATGAGTTCATTGCTCGCTCACCTATCAACCAATTTTCTTGATTTTGTCGGCAAAAGAACAAGTGAGGATGATTGCTATACATCGGTGTGAATTATCGCTTTAAAGGATTAGTGTGACCTCTTAAAGTTAGTTTTGAATAAATTCACGATATTTTTAACAAAAAGTCCTTCAAAAACATTTTTGAAATTAATAAAAAGTTTCACATTTCACGCTTTGATAACATTGGATAAGACAAAAATATAAGCCAAAGTGGTTTAAACTTTATATGGGGCCTTTAACTGATTAATACAATTTTACACCCATTGGAAGGACTGTACTTACCCTTTGCATTCGTTTGACTTCACTTCTTAAAAGAGAGCTTCTTCGTCTTCAGTAGTTTAACTAGACTCTGCACGCACTGACGCAGGGTAGACTGTTCTGTGACTGGTTGGACAGAGTTGTATCAATCATACATGTAACTGCATGTCCAGTGAAAAATAACCAACTCTGATTATACCAAAGGTTGGAATTTGAATTATCATGCACATGATAGTGGTCAGATAGTGATCTAAAATCCATAGCCCAAACAGGTACAAAATTGGACGGTGTTTACTACTATAATGAGATCAAGTGATCCTTACGATTATAGTGAGTTCCATTGCAGTTCGAAACTGAGGTACAAATCATAGACAAGGAAGTGCAAAACAAGATCGCTGAATAAAATAAAGGATAGTCTATAGAGGACTTATATTTTCCCCCAAAACTTAGACAATATTTGATTTCTAACAAACGGCGAATTATCGAAAACAAACGGCGATTTCGGACACTCGCCCCCTGCTATTGAAAGCCCAGTAATAAGTAGAGCAAAATCCAGAAAAAGTAGATCAAAAATACTCCAATGGAGTATAAAATTGTCACCAGGATTCCGAAATGAGACGAATGTTAACTCGTTAAATCTCGGTAGATAAAGTAGGTCAGAAAATCCGGAATAATCCGAACAAGGTTCGGGAATTTTCGTCATAAGAAGTAGATCAAAAATACTCCAAGTGGAGTATAAAATTGTCACCAGGATTCCGAAATACGACGAATCAAATCGGCAAACTTCGGTAGAATAATGAAGTGCATAAAAACCTAAATGACCCGAACAACGTTCGGATAAAATCGTGAAACAGGTGTCAGGGGCTTCCCCTCATCTTTCCCGACATGATTCTAGAAGCCTTATATGGATCTATCACGTGACATTCAAAATGACGTTCCTATATGGTTTTACGGGCCTTATATGGATCTTTCGAACACGTGACCAAAAATACCAGATCAAAATCAAAATTTTACCTTGACCATTGGATTGGATTTCATAAAATAAATATTCAAGAAAACATATCCTCGTGATCCTTAAATAACTTAAATTCGATCATTTTATCTTCACCCCTTGATGGAATTTTATAAAAGAAGTCATGAAAACACATCATTATGTAAGGGTTTTCACCTAAATTAGCTCGTTGATCTTGACCCTTCAATTGAATTTCATGGAAAAATATTTTATGAAAAAATATCATCATGTTATGATTTGTATTTGAATAAGACCGTTTCATCTAAATACTTGGATAATATTACATTGAAAATGCACTTAAAAAATATTGGATTGGATTTACAGGATTTGCCCTAATTTATCAATGTAATGTAAGTTTTAGATGAACTCTCAATTAGGGTTCTATTTTAACTTTTTTTGAAATTAATACTTCTCAGGACTCGTTCTCTAAATACACGTAGCTAATAAAAATTCAACCCTTGGATGTGATTTCGTAGAAAAAAATATGTCAAGTCCAGAATCAAATGATTTGTCCAGAACCTCTTAAGATCCTGTTTTTGATCTAATTTCAAAACTGTTCAATTAATTCAGTGAGGAGAGCATCTCTATTTAATTAAGTATTACCTTTCTGAGTTGTTTTCTTCAAACTGTTTTATCATTGTCAAAGGGAGAGCACTCATTCCATTTCTGAGTGTTTTGACCCTTATCTCATCATAGGGTTTTTCAGAAGGTCCTACAGGTACATTAGACGCTGCATTTTCTTCAGAGACATCAAACCCCAAAACGTCTGAGACATATTCTATCGCTTCAATCGAGCCACCATATTTGCGCCAAATTCTGTCATATCTGGAATGACTCAAATATAAGTTGTTCGATCTTTCAATTTTATTCTAGTCAAGTAATCTCATTGGTTTAACATCGTAGGCTTACTTAAATAATATCTTATTTCAGAAAAGAATGAAATTAACATGGTAAAATGGGGACATGCCTTTGTTTAAATAATTCAATGCCATCTTTATCTAGTTTCTTATCACCAGAATCGGAATTTGGTACGCTAGCTTCGTATATTTTCCTGCGTAGTTGGATTGAGGATTTTCCAATCTCATCGTGGTACAAGTTGTAAGGTACTCTAGAACTACCCAGGTCAATATATTTCATATGCATTCCTCTGAGGTGAAAAGTGTTATTCTGGATGTTTGACTTAAAATCACCACTGTAGTCTTGAAAATCCATGGTTTCCAGTTTAAGAGATTCTATAGCGTTGGTGACAAACACATGGCCCCGCGTGCCCTCCCTAGTTTCCACTGCTGGGAAAAATCTCATTGCTCCCATCTCAGCCAATCTGTAGTCAATACCTTGGAAATTAAAAAAATGAAAATAAATACACGTTTTGGAATGAATACACATATGTGTACCAAACAACAGAAAAAGAGTGTACCTAATTACAGAGTGGTCCAAAAAATGGGACACTCGTATTTCAAAAACAAACATTGATTTTATTGATGAAAACATGTCATATTACACTCCCCTCCATAAGTTTGGCAACCTTCTTTCCCCATTGAACTACGTGTTAAAGCCTCTTTACGTTTGAATTTTTATTTACTTAACCGGCGATGAAATAACTTATAATATTGATGGAAACTTAACTTGACTTTATTTCCAATACCTCCAAATTTTCTCAATTTTTTCCTGAATTACAATAGGTCGAAAATTGATGATAAATTTGATGAATTTTTGAAAATCGTCATTCCCATGTAATCCAATGGGAAATGGAGGGTTCGGGGCAAATCAAAAATCAGGATATATTTTCAGTAAAAGATTCAGCAAAAAATATTTTTATATAGAAAATTGAATTGTCTAACTTTTTTGATCACTAAGTGTTTGGTTTATTTGATGGATATTAAAGTTACAGCGCTTCAAAGTCATTTTTGAAAATAATTTTTCGCCTCCTGTGTTATTTCAATGGGAGAGGTTTTTGAAAAACAATTTTGACTTTAAAGCCCTATAACCTTGTTGAACCTGAAGAAACATATCAATTTTTTGTTAAATAAAGTTAGCAAATTCAATTGCCTGCCTAACTCGTATTTTTTGCAAGGAGCCAAGGACTCGAATGGATGGATATTCTGTCATATGACTTGCGGCAAACCTACCATTTCCCATTGGTTAACATGGGAATGTCGATTTTCAAAAATTCATCAAATCTATCATCAATATTCGACCTATTATAATTGAGGAAAAAAATTGAGAAAATTTGGAGGTATTGGAATTAAGGTCAAATTACGTTCCCATCAATAGTTTAAGTATTTTCATTGCAGGTTAGGTAAATAAAAATTTAAAGGTAAAGAGGCTTTAACACGTAGTTCAATGGGGGAAAAAGGTTGCCAAACTTATGGAGGGGAGTGTATATACCAGTGGATTGGAAATTTAATTATCTTTAATTTGGTGTATCATAAGTTCAAAGGAGTGATATCGATAAGGTGAACTTTTTGGACACGCATTTCTCTTATACCAGTAATCAAAACATTCTGAAAATTTTACACATCGTCAATTTAATGGTCATCATTTGGATGGTAACATAATAATTTGAAATATATATAAATAGTTTTTTCTATATCGTTTTAGAAAACACATTAGACATTCCTTTTGTTATTGGTATCATATGTTCGAAATGAAACGAAACATCTATCCGAACCCCATTGGAACAAAACGACATAAACACAACGTGCTTAGGTCTCTCAATATTGTAATTGTACAAAGGAAAAATTGGTTGATTTTAAAAAAGTATCTTGTTAATGAAATAAAAGGTTTATCTTAATTTTTTACTTTTATTTGGGGGGGGGTATGTTTTTGCATACTTTTTGAAAATCAACCAAAATGTGCTTTGTGTAACTATAATATTGAGAGGTTTTGGAAAATGTTGTACATGTTATTTTGTTCCGACAAGTTTCGGAAAGACATTTTGTTCTATTCTCAAGAATTGGTAGAAAGGAACAAAAAACAATTGCACTAAAAAACAAAAAAATGTTAACAAAACCAGTTATATAAAATTGTTGCCAATCAGTCAAGATTACATAAAGGACCGTGTTTTTACAGATTGTTTTCAATAATTGGTTTAAGAGAAAAACGTTGTTGAATTCCTTCACCTATCCTTTCTCAGAATACGTGTCAACCAGCGTCTATAACACAAACAAATGACGTCATTTTCATTTCAAAACAGGTTTTCAAAAACTTGCAAAAAACAAGTCTGAGTCTGGTCCAAGTCGTGATTTACCTCATTAAATTGTTTTGCATATATATATGATAATTGATTGAACAGTATATTTAAAGAAAATAAAATCCCGGGACAGTGCTTTTTCGTTCGGTGTATATACTATTTACGTCGTCTGAGTTTAACGAAACTTCTTAAATGTCAAATAAAACGCAATTAAAAATATAAACGATGATGACAAAAGAATGTGAGAGGGTGCATAATAAAGCAAATACTGGGTAGTCAGGAGCTATGGCCAGAATCCCGGGCCAGAATGCCTATTCTCGAAAACATATTGGGCTCGGTTGTTGGTTATATCCAGCTCCTGATCATCTAATATTTGTATAATATTAATATTGCATGTAGCTAATCACTAAAGGACTACAAAACATATTTGAATCTGGCTTACTGTTATCCGCCATTTTGAATGTCACATGATAAAAATAAAGCTTTGGGAACTATACATGTACATGTCCGTGAATAATTTATCAGTCGCAAATATTGCATATTCCCGGAGCTAATAGTCTATTCTGGTAGAATTTGTAGAGAACCATAAAATAAATAACTGCGTTTCAAAAATAAAAAAGTAATTTTATACCCGGTAGTTTTCGGCTGTATACACGCCCTCCTATTCGGTTGGAATATTCAAATAAGTGTATGGACTGTTTGCTTTCCTTTAACTTCCAGGCTGCATATGCGCCACCTATTCCACCACCTATCACGGCTATGTCTATTGGAATACCTGGAAATAATATCAATAATATAATATGTAAATATCATCAAAATCAATAATTCAGTCTAATTATTTAATGCGTCATCATTAATTGATTAATGAGATAATTAGCTTTGAAAAAAAAAATTTGGTCAAATTTAAGATAAGACAGCCGTAATAAAAAACATATAGTAAATTAATGATACCCTAGTTTCTTAACTACAATAGTCTTGAAAGGTGGGAAATCTATATTTGACTTACATATACATTTGACTACATTTTCCACTAATTCGATGACATTTGATTATTAGCAATATGAAGAGTTTAGCACCTTAAGAATGAAATCGCAATATATACTCTTCTCCTTGAATAGCATATAAGTTAATAAGATAAACAAAAATTGAATACTTACATTTTTCTGTAGGAGATGTAGAACCTGCCGATCTTGTGCATTTTTGCATGCAAGGTTCTAGCGCGAATTTTGGAGGAACACCGGCATCTCCAAGACATCTTTTCCAACAGCCACCACCACATGTGTACCCCTAATTACAAAAACACACTGAAGCAAAATACCTCTGCAAGATGATTCCCGAAGAGTTTTGATGATTTATTGATTAAGAAGTATATGATTAAGAAGTATATGTACATGTATAGCCCTGAACTTCAGAAATGATCGCCTAAATCTTAACTTGTATTTTCTAATTCCTCCATAACTGAACATTATTTTCTTCCTTTTTACTGACACATGCGGGTTGTTACAGTTCAAAGAGCGGATTGATACAGTTCAAAGAGCGGGTTGATACAGTTCAGAGAGCGGGTTGTTACAGTTCAAAGAGCGGGTTGTTACAGTTCAAAGAGCGGGTTGTTACAGTTCTAAAAGCGGGTTGATACAGTTCAGAGAGCGGGTTGTTACAGTTCAAAGAGCGGGTTGTTACAGTTCAAAGAGTGGGTTGTTACAGTTCCAAGAGCGGTTGATACAGTTCAGAGAGCGGGTTGATACAGCTCAGAGAGCGGGTTGTTACAGATCAGAGAGTGGGCTGTTACAGTTCCAAGAGCGGGTTGATACAGTTCAGAGAGTGGGTTGTTACAGTTCAAAGAGCGGGTTGTTACAGTTCCAAGAGCGGGTTGATACAGTTCAGAGAGCGGGTTGTTACAGTTCAAAGAGCGGGTTGTTACAGTTCAAAGAGCGGGTTGTTACAGTTCCAAGAGCGGTTGATACAGTTCAGAGAGCGGGTTGATACAGCTCAGAGAGCGGGTTGTTACAGTTCAGAGAGCGGGCTGTTACAGTTCCAAGAGCGGGTTGATACAGTTCAGAGAGTGGGTTGTTACAGTTCAAAGAGCGGGTTGTTACAGTTCCAAGAGCGGGTTGATACAGTTCAGAGAGCGGGTTGTTACAGTTCAAAGAGCGGGTTGTTACAGTTCAAAGATCGGGTTGTTACAGTTCCAAGAGCGGTTGACACAGTTCAGAGAGCGGGCTGATACAGCTCAGAGAGCGGGTTGTTACAGTTCAGAGAGCGGGCTGTTACAGTTCCAAGAGCGGGTTGATACAGTTCAGAGAGCGGGTTGTTACAGTTCAAAGAGCGGGTTGTTACAGTTCCAAGAGCGGGTTGATACAGTTCAGAGAGCGGGTTGTTACAGTTCAAAGAGCGGGTTGTTACAGTTCCAAGAGCGGTTGATACAGTTCAGAGAGCGGGTTGTTACAGTTCAGAGAGCGGGTCGTTACAATTTAAAGAGCAGGTTGTACAGTTTCAAGAACGGGTTGTTACAGTTCAAAAAACGGGTTGTTACAGTTCAAAGAGCGGGTTGTTACAATTCATCATTGCGTAGAGCGATTTGGAAATTGTGATTATACCATCAATACATAGGCAGCCAAAGTTTACAAGTGTTCCAGCAATTAGCTTGATGAGTTTGATCCATGTGCTGTGAACAATATCCTGTTACAGTCTTACAGTTTCAGACGAGTAATCGATTGTGCATTGTTGAATTTTTAAATTGTTGCTGAATTGATGTTGATGTGTTGGATTTATACAATGACGTTTTTAAATATAGAAATATAGTTTGGTTTTGTGTCATACAAAAATCAGATATTGCTTCTGAACTAAAATGATTTCATGAAAACAGTCATAATTAAAGTATCATAAAATAAAAGCTTAACAACTAGTCGGGATTTAATATGGGTTGATTCCTCGTGACAATATGATATCCTCATCATTGTTCCTTTGAATAAACCCCATATCTAATCACTCCCGATAAATAACCGCCGTTTCTTTAAGTGTATGGAATACGTAAATCACTGTACCTGTTGAAGTGCACAAATACTTTTGCATTTTCTTCTTAGTTCTTCCCTTTTGCATATTCTCCTGCAAGGTTTATAAGTATGGCCAGCAAAACCATCAGACACTAAATATAATTTGACCAATTATCCAACATGATAAATTGATAATTAATTTATCATTAAAAACGCAACGGTTCAAACTTTTGAATTCAATGCCAATAAAGACTAGTCACACGGCGTGAACGAAATCACTCCATTAATCAAACATTAAGACATTAAACTACTGTATGCAATGAAAAAATACTTTCAAAATGGCCGCCAGATGAAAATAAAGTCGTCCTAAAGTAATCAGCTCTAGAATTTGGCCAAAAGGTATTTATTTCTAGAACTTGTATCCTCTGTCATCATCATCCTAAACAAATTAATAGTTTCCCCGAAAATGACAGTGACAAGATTTAATGCAATGACAAGATTTATCGAAAATGTTCCAAAATGGCCGCCAGAAACCAAAATGACCGTTATTTTTTTTTACTTCAAAATTTGAATCGCGAGTTTTGGCCTTATTTCATTACAAAAAATTCAACACACACAAGAAGTGATTAAGATATTGATTCAAATATTTTGGACCGCTGATTATGAATTTATAATATTAGAAAATAACGACATTGTCAATGTTGTCATCGATCAAGGTCAAGGTCGAATATCGAGTTGGAGCCCTAGAACTTTGTATCCTCTATTATGTGTACGAATTTGAAGAAAATCAAATTAGCGATTTTCCTTAAATTCTAAAATGGCCGCCAGGAAAAAATGGCAGTCAAAAAGTTAATCAGCCCTAGAACTTGGTATCCTCTATTATTTTTACGAATTAAAATAAAATCAAAAACAAAAAACAGAAAACAAAATGGCCGTTAAAAAGGTTATCAGCCCTAGAACCTCTAATATCATTAAGTGTACGAATTAAAATAAAATAAGCATTTTTCTTGAATACCCAATCACGATCGCTCAACCAACATGACAACTATATAACACTGATGGTGTGACAAAAACATTAAAATATAATTTGTTACACAATATTTTCACAATACCAGAGAAAACGTTTAGATATCATCTATCACTTTTAGACTATTGAATTAACCTACCTAGAACTCCCAGCACTGCGACTAGAATGGCAACACGTATATTGCCGCGATACATCCTGTTGAATGCCTGTATGTCATGTGAAATAAGATCTAGACTTGAGCGTGGATAAATTGCTAATGCAGGTGTGAATCTACGGAAAGCGATAGGGGACATGCGCATAATTCAAAATCGAATGGAGTTTTAACATGGGAGTGATATCACACACCGCGGCCCAGTCAGATAGATTTCATCGCGCACTGAATGAATTACAGGGGCCGCGTTGTGCAAAGTTAATTAAAATAAAGTGCGCAGAAATTCCGGCATTCAGTGCGCGATGAAAAAATGATTATCTACGGAAAGCGATAGGGAACCTGCGCATAATTCAAAATCGAATGGAGTTTTAACATGGGAGTGATATCACAAACCGCGGCCCAGTCAGATAGATTTCATCGCGCACTGAAGGAATTACAGGGGCCGCGTTGTGCAAAGTTAATTAAAATAAAGTGCACAGAAATTCCGGCATTCAGTGCGCGATGAAAAAATGATTATCTGTGAATAAAAAACGAATAAAAATTCGTGGCACCACGAAAAGACTGCGGGGTGAACCAGCGAAATGACAATTTTGGATAATATTGATGGCTCTAACGAGGAGAACTTTGAGATTTCCCGATTCTAGCGCGCAGCATATCCAGGACATGCGCACTTTTATCAGATTCGATTCTAATATGGTTTCAAAGATAATGTTCATTAAAAGAGGTCGTATGCATACAGATTACACGTGGCGTTATGTTGAAGTGACCCTTGCAAAGGGTTCCATTGAAAATATATTATTTTGGGCCATTTCATATCTTTTAATTGATATTGTATAAAATATTTTCAATGTTTGAAAATTATAATCTTATAAATAACATTTTATGTAATAAAACTGTAACGAAATGGTAAATACGGAATATGATGCAATACAATGCAGTGCAATATGATGTTATACAATGCAGTGCAATATAATGCAATACAATGTGGTGCAATATGATGTAATACAATGCGGTGCAATATGATGCAATACAATGCAGAGCAATATGATGCAATACAATGCAGTGCAATATGATGCAATACAATGTAGTGTAATATGATGCAATACAAAGCAGTGTTATATGATGCAAAAAATGCAGTGCAATATGATACAATACAATGTAGTGCAATATAATACAATAAAATGCAGTGCAATACGATGCAATACAATACAGTGCAATATAATGCAATACAATGCAGTGCAATGCAATACAGTGCAAAACAATGCCGTGCAGTGCAATACAATGTAGTTCATTTCAATATAATGCAGTGCAATACAATATGGTACAGTGCAATACAATGCAGTGCAATACAATACATCGCAGTTCAATACAGTGCAATACAATGTAGTGCAATGCAGTGCAATAAAATACAATACAGTGCAATTCAATACAATGCAATATAACACAGTGCAATACAATACAATGCTGTGCAATACAATACAATGCAGCGCAATACAATGTAGTACACTGCAGTACAATACAATGCAGTGCAATAAAGTACAATGCAGTGCAATATAATATAATACAGTGCAATACAGTACGATATAATGCAATAGAATACAATGCAGTGCAATACAATACAATGCAGTGCAATACAATAAAATGCAGTACAATACAATACAATGATGTGCTATACAATACAATACAATGCAATGAAATGCAATTCAATGCTATGAATGTACACCTTCTACAGTCAAATAAACACAGATAAAATTGTAATAGTATGTTAGTGTATGGAGTTTGAAGTGGGTGGGGGATACAATTACCAGTCTGCTGATTGATGACTTAATAACTTAGAAAAGATCTCCTAGCTTTTAACAGGTGGCACTTATGTCTACCTTATGTTCTTGAACAATCTCGTCTAAGAATACAGACCCGTATCCTGGATTAACCTGGGGGAGTGGTTTTACCAAGGGGGGATTTTGCCAAGAGGGGGGAGCTTTTTGACAGTTATGGCAAAAAAATCATGCGAAAAGTGCTAAGAATGGTGAAAAACTGCATGATTTTGAACGAATATTTGGCAAGGGGGAGGGGGGTGAAGCCCCCTGGCTACGGCCATGGAATACATATAGGAACTTTCCTTCTCCCAGAAGAAATGGTATACAGGTATTACATCAATCATTCTGGTATTTTGTATACGAAGGTCTGTAGTTACTTTATTGAAAGATGGCAGTGTACACTGTGTACTACCATTTTGAGGTCAGTTTGACTTTTTAATTCTGCGCACTATAATCTGTAATTCTCATAGATATCCTCTCTAGAGGCATCACTGTGATCCAAAATTACAATTTCGCAGGTCAAGTCTGCAGTCTTTCGAAAAAAGTTGAATTCGTTGTGCTACCCTTTCTTGTTGGGCATTTATTAACAGAAAACTATAATTACATCGCGCCAGCATATACAAGCTTCAGCGCGATATTTTGAGTGTGTTAATCAATAAAGTGCGCAGAAATCGATCTTACTGGGCCGCGGTGTGCGATATCACTCATAAACAATTTTTAATTGCGCACTGAATGAATTACAGGGGGCGCGTTGTGCAAAGTGAATTAAATAAATAAAGTGCGCAGAAATATATCTGACTGGGCCGCGGTGTGTGATATCACTCCAATGTTAAAACTCCATTGAATTTTAAATTCTGCGGTATATCCCCTTTCGCTTTCCGTAATTATCTGTGAATAAAAAACGAATAAAAATTCGTGGCACCACGAATTTGATTTTTTTCGAAAGACTGTGGAGTGAACCAGCGAAATGACAATTTTGGATAATATTGATGGCTCTAACGAGGAGAACTTTGAGATTTCCCGATTCTAGCGCGCAGCACATCTAGGACATGCGCACTTTTATCAGATTCGATTCTAATATGGTTTCAAAGATAATGTTCATTAAAAGAGGGCGTATGCATACAGATTACACGTTGCGTTATGTTGAAGTGACCCTTGCAAAGGGTTCCATTGAAAATATATTATTTTGGGCCATTTCATATCTTTTAATTGATATTGTATAAAATATTTTCAATGTTTGAAAATTATAATCTTATAAATAACATTTTATGTAATAAAACTGTAACGAAATGGTAAATACGGAATATGATGCAATACAATGCAGTGCAATATGATGTTATACAATGCAGTACAATATGATGCAATACAATGTGGTGCAATATGATGTAATACAATGCGGTGCAATATGATGCAATACAATGCAGAGCAATATGATGCAATACAATGCAGTGCAATATGATGCAATACAATGTAGTGTAATATGATGCAATACAAAGCAGTGTTATATGATGCAAAAAATGCAGTGCAATATGATACAATACAATGTAGTGCAATATAATACAATACAATGCAGTGCAATACGATGCAATACAATACAGTGCAATATAATGCAATACAATGCAGTGCAATGCAATACAATGCAAAACAATGCCGTGCAGTGCAATACAATGTAGTTCATTTCAATACAATGTAGTGCAATACAATGTGGTACAGTGCAATACAATGCAGTGCAATACAATACAGTGCAATATAATACAATGCAGTGCATTGCAATGCAGTGCATTGCAATGCAGTGCAATACAATATGGTGCAGTGCAATATATTGCTGTGCAATACAAAACAATGCAGTGTAATACAATACAGTGCAACACAATGTGGTACAGTGCAATACAATACAGTGCAATACAATACATCGCAGTTCAATACAGTGCAATACAATGTAGTGCAATGCAGTGCAATAAAATGCAATACAGTTACAATGTAGTTCATTTCAATACAATGTAGTTCATTTCAATACAATGCAGTGCAACACAATGTGGTACAGTGCAATTCAATACATCGCAGTTCAATACAGTGCAGTGCAATACAAAACAGTGCAATACAATACATGGCAGTTCAGTGCAGTGCAATACAATACAGTGCAATACAATAAATCGCAGTTCAATACAGTGAAATACAATGTAGTGCAATGCAGTGCAATAAAATACAATACAGTGCAATGCAATACAATGCAATACAATACAGTGCAATACAAAACAATGCTGTGCAATAGAATACAGTACACTGCAGTACAATACAATGTAGTGCAATAAAATACAATGCAGTGTAATGAAATGCAGTGTAATTCAAGGCAATGCAATACAATACTGTGCAATACAATACAGTGCAATATAATACAATGCAGTGCACTGCAATGCAGTGCAATACAATATGGTGCAGTGCAATATATTGCAGTGCAATTCAAAACAATGCAGTGTAATACAATGCAGTGCAACACAATGTGGTACAATGCAATACATTATAATGCAGTGCAATACAATACAATGCAGCGCAAAACAATGTAGTACACTGCAGTACAATACAATGCAGTGCAATAAAGTACAATGCAGTGCAATATAATATAATACAGTGCAATACAGTACAATATAATGCAATTGAATACAATGCAGTGCAATAGAATACAATGCAGTGCAATACAATAAAATGCAGTACAATACAATACAATGATGTGCTATACAATACAATACAATGCAATGGAATGCAATTCAATGCTATGAATGTACACCTTCTACAGTCAAATAAACACAGATAAAATTGTAATAGTATGTTAGTGTATGGAGTTTGAAGTGGGTGGGGGATACAATTACCAGTCTGCTGATTGATGACTTAATAACTTAGAAAAGATCTCCTAGCTTTTAACAGGTGGCACTTATGTCTACCTTATGTTCTTGAACAATCTCGTCTAAGAATACAGACCCGTATCCTGGATTAACCTGGGGGAGTGGTTTTACCAAGGGGGAGATTTGGCCAAGAGGGGGGAGCTTTTTGACAGTTATGGCAAAAAAATCATGCGAAAAGTGCTACTAAGAATGGTGAAAAACTGCATGATTTTGAATGAATATTTGGCAAGGGGGAGGGGGTGAGGCCCCCTGGCTACGGCCATGGAATACA